AAGAAGGGTCTAGGCCCGAAACGTCAGCCTTCCTGCTCCTCTGATGCTGCTTGGCCTGCTGTGTTTATCCAGCTCTACACCTTGTTATCTAAGAAATGAATCACCTCAGTCCCAACTGCTCTTGCTGAGAATCCACTGCACCTTCATATTCCCTTGAGAGGACAACACATTTCCTCATGGTTTCTGCACTGTGATCCTGAAGGTGTTTACTCACAATATGGGCACGTTGTCCTCAGGGGGAGATACTTCCTGATCTGACATCAAGCAGCGAAATCTAAATCACCGATTCTTAAACACTTTTTGGTCAAAGGAGGCCTCATTTTAGATGGATTATTAATCATGAAGCTTGCATTTAAATCATAATCTAATATAATATTTATATCTAGTGTCTCTTCACAAGCTTTTAAGAAACCGTTAATTATTTAAGGGAGGTGAATGGACTGCTTTTCACTGCAGTCCCTTGGTCAAACATTCACTGTCCTCTTCCTACTTCCTCACATCATGGCCATCCTTGTTATCATTTTTATATCATTTCCCAGAGCAGCGCTGATGTCTCTCCAGAACCCCCTTTATGGGTCTGCAGATCCCAGGGAGAGAATGGTCAGAAATAACCGCAGACTGGGCAGTGAACAGCACCAGTGACCCAGGCAAACTGGATTGCTCTCACCACAGATCCCACTAAACTTAGTCCAGGCCAGCTGCTGAACTTGGGGATGTTGATTCCCTGAGTTCACTGGGAAGAGCATTCAGCTACCAACACTGCCAAATTGCAGGGGAGGCAGTGGAAACTAATAATTTAGTCTGCACTCCAACATCCAGCATAAAGTATAGTGCATTATGTTATAAATAGGATTCTCCAGTTTAAAAAAACAATCTTCTGCAGATAATATGTTTGAAAGGGCAGAAACACATAATCTGGGAAATATCTGGTTATGCTTACCTTACTTTGTTTTCTGTCCAGATAGAACTGATGCTGACTTATGGCCATTGCCCAAATGGACTTAATCAGTGCAGCACTGGCGTACCATGTATGTACAGCAATCCCACTGTGACCAAAGGTTCTCCTAGTTACAGACGCCCTGAGAACATAAACAGAAAACAAGGTTACTGCCTGATTTTCTCTCCTACTTCCACGGTGTATAGCATTGCCATTCACAGCAGTTTGATCATTACAGAAGGAATCCTTTCCCCTCACTGAGAAATGTTAGCAACTTCTCCTCCCACTGGCTTTTGCCTTCGCTTGTTCAAAACATTCCAGATCAATCCTATGATCTTAGGGCAACTAATGCACGTTAAGAAATATTAGTAAATTTAAAATGCACACAAGGCAGCAGCCCGCTTATCCCATCTTTCCAACTAATGTTACCAAGTTGTACACACTGTCAGGATCGCAAATATTCCACATTTTTTAGCTTCTATGCTATTTCAACAGTAAGAACATGAAAGCAGGCATTGTCCAATTAGACTGCCACTCATCAACAACAGCAGTACGGCTTTACTTTACCTGCGCGGGTCATGCACTTCCACAGAAAATTTCTTCTCCCTGAAGTACAGGTTCTCCAACTGCCTCCATTGGAAAATCTTAACAAGACAAAGAATCGAGAATGAAAGCTGTCTCGTTATTTAACCCTTTTTGAAGACATACAGGCTCTCTCTCTGCAGGTCCCTTACACACACATGCCTGTCCTTTTACCGACTCCCTACACTCTCCTTCCACAGCCAAAGACAGAAGAGGGAGTGAAAAACAAATCCGAGAAGGCTGCTCAAACACTTTGTGTGTTTCGCTGAGGATTTTTAAGAGAAACAACAATCAAGAGTCCCTTCTGGTGGACTGCTTCATTTTCCACACGATTCCTGCAACACTGGGTTTTCCTGGAGCACAGCACTTTTGCTTCTGAGCTGTAAGCAGAACCAGCTGTGAGTCAGTGCTGGAGAACGGCTCAACATAATTTCCTACCCTACCCTCCTGAACTGGTTGGAAGTAAAAGATGAGAAGACATTTAATCACATGCCTCTCTTGGGAACGAACTTCCTGCTCACTAATCTACAATAGCTCCTGACATGTACTATAGCTTGCAGCAACTATAACCAGTAGGAACACAATAAAAGCTTTTTAAGGGTGGAGCTTTTTCAGAAACCCTTGTGAGCAGCTGAAAATAAACCAAGATCTGTGCCAACTCACAAGGTAACAGACTTACTCCTAACCTTTCTAAACTAAAAACGGGAAACAAAACCTGTCTTCCTCTCCTCAAGCAAAGTGGCAATTTCCAAACTTCACTTCCAAATGTTTTCTTTTACTGAAGTTTTTTTTAAGTTTGATTTCTGGCAGGCCGCTAAACGGACATATGCTAATGAAGGCTTTTAAGCTCCCATTACAGCGGAGGCTCAGGAATTTCAAACACGCCAGATGTTTGTGTTGTGAGAATTTTCAGCTGGGACCACATGGGGTTGTGTCAAAGGCGGAGGGACCTGGGCAGGAGGACACAGGAGACAAGCTCCAGATGCCTGCAATAAGTGAGACGCCTGACAAAATCATTTGGAATGGAGGCAGCATCTTTCAGCAAGGCTGCTCCTTCCCAGATTCATCAAATAACACGGAAGCCAGGAATGATTCGACCAGCCGATCAAGCCTGCTCCTTGAACCATGTTATACATACTCTTCCTGCCCGGCTAACTAAGCATTCGACATACATCTGGAATGGGGTCCAACAGCATTTGGAAAGAGCAACTGAACGTTAATAAGAACATAAGAACTAGGAGCAGGAGTAGGCCATCTGGCCCTTCGAGCCTGCTCCGCCACTCAATAAGATCATGGCTGATCCTTTCGTGGACTCAGATCCACTTACCCACGTTCTCACCGTATCCCTTAATTCCTTTATTGTTCAAAAAAAATCTACCTTTTTTTAAAAAGCGTTTACTGAAGTAGCGTCAACTACTTCACTGGGAAAGGAATTCCACAGATTAACAACCCTCTGGGTGAAGAAATTCCTTCTCAGTTCAGTCCTAAATCTGCTCCCTCTAATCTTGAGGCTATGCCCTCTTGTCCTAGCTTCACCTGCCTAATACTTTATTCTGAGAAAGTAATGGTGCTCACAGTGTTACTGCAGCTTTGTTTTTTTTTCCCCCCCATTGGTAACAGATTGACATGCATCTCCAGCGTTTTATTTCACAGTGTACCACTTACAAATGGATTGGGAGCAGGGGCTGACCACTCAGCCCCTCAAATCTGTGGCACCATTCAACATGGTCATGGCCAATCTCATTACTCCACCATTTCCACCTCTCCCCTCCACACCACCCAGTTAAACTTTCCTCCCGCCCCCAACTAAGAATGTCTCCAGCTCTGCCTTAAAAAGATTGAAAGACTTTGCTTCAACTGTCTTTTGAAGATGGGGTCCAACGTCTCATGCATCTCCGAGAAAAACATTTTTGCCTGATCTCAGCCTTAAATGGGCAACCCCTTATTTGTAAACAGCAACACTTGATTCTAGATTCTCTCACAAGGGGAAACATTCTGTCCATGTCCACCCTGTCAGCACCTCTCATGATCTTGTGGATCTCACTCAAGTCGCCCTCACTCTGATCGACCCCAGTAGATACAAGCCCAGCCTGTCCAACGTCTCTTTATTTGACAAGCCCATTCCAGTTATCAATCCAGTGAACCTTTTCTGACTCCAATGCACAGGCAGCCTCAGTGAAAAGTATTCTGCCTTAATTCTTTTGCCCTTTTACAAAGTAAAAAGGCCATTGACACAAACCTTATTGTCTTTTCTCATGGCAGAAACTAACCAACTAACTGTCCATTTCCAGTCCGTCCTCCCACAGAGATTAATCATCTCGACCTAAACTATACTTCTTCTATAATCCCTACTTATGATGCTCCCAGCAAGATATTCACACAGCTCTGACTGTGAAGCTATCAATTAACAGACCATTAAGTGCTGTATAGACATGGGGGCTGGTTAGCTCAGTTGGATGGATGGCAGGTTTATGATGCATTGTGATACCAACAGCATGGGTTCAACTCGCACACCAGCTGAAGTTCCTATGAAGATCCTGTCCCTTGTCTGAGGTGTGGTGACCCTCAGATTAAACTTGAATGTTGGAGTGAGTCTAAGTTAACTATACTTCATACAGATATGGCAATAGAAGCACCATTACATGTAAGGTGAGGAACCTCATCTTGCAGTTCGGAAAATATTTAATCACAACCTCTCAAGAGTTACCCTGTTAATAGATCAAATATTGAAATCAGTGGTTGTGAAGTTCAGGACTTCTGACAAAGGCTTGCTGCATTTACAAAACACCTCGGCACAGGTTTTCAATTCTGAAGAAGGGTCCAGACCCGAAACGTCAGCTTTCCTGCTCCTCTGATGCTGCCTGGCCTGCTGTGTTCGTCCAGCTCTACACCTTGTTATTTCAGTAACTCCTGCTGTTTTCTGGGCTCCTCACAATGTAGACTGTGAATCACAATCTTCATCCTTTAGGTTTGGGTGGTGGAAAAATCTCAGCAATGCCACAGTGACATTATCTGTTTCCTGTGTTGATTCCCTCAGTCCCTGAACCTTGGTGCGATATGTGTACAGATGTGTTTATTTATTCAAAACGGCATAAACACCCGTCTGTCTGCTCCAGGGAAAGCAGAATCGATAGGCAAGATTACCGAGTCTGTAAGCTGAAAAATATTTAATATTTCACGCAGGAAACGGGCCTCAGGGCAGACAGTATAAATACGTGAGGGAGAGGAACCGATTGATCATTTTATAAAAATGGAAGGAAAGGAGGCCACAGTTTGTGGATGTTTATACAACAGGCAGAAGCTACTCCAAGGAAAATACTGTAAAGGGGAGAGTTGTTAGAGGCAGTGGATTTAAAATCATCCCAAAATTTGTCTTTGATCACAGAATAGTACAGCTGTATAACAGGACAATATTTCATGATGAAACAGGAGATGGAATCTAATGTTTTTCCCCTTGAAATTCAACGGCATTACCCTCACTGAATGTGAGATGTTAGGAAGCACTTCTATACACAAAGGGGTGGTAGCTGTTTGGAAGTCTCTTCCAAAAATGGCAAGTGGATGCTGGATCAGTTGTTAACTTTAAATCTGAGACAGACAGATGTTTGTTAAGCAAAGGTATTAAGGGATATGGACCAAAGGCAGATGCGTTATGCCACAGATCCATGATCTTGTTGAATGGTGGAGCAGGTTCAAAGGGCTGAATGGCCTATTGCTGTTCCTGTGTTCCTCCATTGTTGACATCCTGTGGGTCACCATTGACTAGATACAGAGCTGGACCTGCCATATAAATATAGCAGCTACAAGAACACTTCAGAGGCTGGGAATACTGCAGTGAGTAACTCACCTCCTGACGCTCAAAGCCTGTCCACCATCTACAACAGACAGGTCAGGAAAATGCAACAAGATCTGGACACTATCCAGGCTTGGGCTGACAAGTGGCAAATAACATTCATGCCACACAAATGCCAGGCTATGACCATCAACAATAAAAGACAATCTAACCACCGCCCCTTGACATTCAATGGTGTTACCATCACTGAATCCCCCACTATCAGCATCCTTGGGGTTACCACTGACCAGAAACTCAACTGGACTCACCACATAAACACAGTGGCTACAAGAGCAGGCCAGAAGCTGGGAATACTAAAACGAGTAACTCACCACCTGACTCCTCAAAGCCTGTCCATCATCTACAAGGCACAAGTCAGGAGTGAGATGGAATACTTCCCACTTGCCTGGATGAGTACAGCCCCAACAACACTCAAGAGGCTTGACACCATCCAGGACAAAGCAGCCCGCTTGATTGGCACCATATCCACAAACATCCACTCCCTCTATCACCCATGCCCAGTAGCAGCAGTATGTACTGTCTACAAGATGCACTGCAGAAATTCACCAAAGATCCTCAGGCAGCACCTTCCAAACCCACGACCACTTCCATCGAGAAGGACAAGGGCAGCAGATATATGGGAACACCACAGTCTGCAAGTTCCCCTCCAAGCCACTCGCCATCCTGACCTGGAAATATATCGCCGTTCCTTCAGTGTCACTGGGTCAAAATCCTGGAATTCCCTCCCTAACAGCATTGTGGTGTCCCTACACACCAAGGGCTGCAGCAGTTCAAGAAGGCAGCTCAGTACCACCTTCTGAAGGGGTAATTAGGGACGGGCAATAAATGCTGGCCCAGACACCACCAACCATATCTCATGAATGAAAAAAAGTTATTAGTTTACCCAGTGACACAGTGGAAGATGAATGAAAACAATTCTGAATATTAACTCTTTCCTTCTGCCTATTATGAGAAAATTCTTCTCCTGAGTCCATTTAAAAATGATCATCCTTTAAAACATGAGCAAAGTAATTCTTTGCATTGTTTTGCCTTTTCACTACAGGCAGCAATGTTTACTCACATCTGTTTAGTTGGTTGCTATGTATGTTTTTGAAGCACACTGAAACATTTATTACATCATGCCTTATGAGGAACACATGTTTCTGCATACGAAGGCTTGATACTGATTTTAAAGGTTAAAGCCAGAAGCCGCGTGGCCAAATAATGCAGGCCGGATCTCTTTTTGTTTTGTAAACTCTGCAGCTGTGAGTGAGCTGCTTCCTGATGTTCGAAGAAGATGTGGACACTTTGGCAAAGTGGCAACAGCACCTGATTGTCTCTCTCTGTAACCTCTGGGACTGAGCAGAATGGGCTCCAAAGCCGTGACAGTGAATGTTGAAAGTGGTGTCCATCAAGCCCTATCTTGGATGGAGTTCGGCATCTAGAGTGCTCATGGTTGCCTTAGCTCATCATACCATTCTGGGTAGATCCCAGATCAATTCTTCACCCTCTAATTGTTACAGTTGGGGCAAACATGTGATTGATTGTACTCGACCTGGGCTAAAGGAAGGGAGACAGCTGGTGTTCACCCTGCTAACTTGGGTAAGACAGCATCAAGTGATTCCTCAATGGTTGAATAGCTCATTGTCTTCCTTCCTGCTTC